GATCCCACCCATCCCCACCCCCGAAGGGCGTGAGGGCCATCATCTACACCTTTACCGATTGAAATATATAAATAGTCTCAATCTTCTCAAAGTTGTAAAGAACGGCGTCCAATTTCGTTGGGTAAGAATGAGGAAATGGAATTGCCACATGCAGGTTTCTGTATACGTCTTTACGCGGGGGTTCCGCCATCAGATAGTGGTTATAATGTGTCCATCAATTATAATCAGCAGTTAAAAACCCACGATAAGCTTATTTCTCAGTGTGAGAAAGAGATATTAAATTCATCTTAAATTACCAATGGGTTGAAACTGGGTGGAAAACTAAGACCTAACCGTTTGTGTAATACGATGGTCGACGATCTGGTCCCTTGTCGCCATAAATCCACCCGCGGGTCGTACCAACGCGTCGAATATTCGTCTCGAAATAAGTGACGCATGATAATTAAGTTAAAATTTAGAGACTATCATCAAGTAGGCGGAATTAATTTCGAGTTATCGACCGCGGCGCGCGATGACGCGAACTACACGACCCGATATTTATGGGAACCATAAAGCGCAAGATATGGTCACGAACGGCTTTAATATTAAAGGTTCTAATGCGAAAGGAGGATCTGGTAGGTGGACAGGGACAGGGACGAGGGCGGACAGAAATGACTCGGGCTCGGACTTTTTCTTCTTTTGTTTTTGATAAAATAATACATTCGCTAACAGAATTTCTAAAATTCAGCACATTATCAATGATTAATGATCAATGATTGAAATTATTCCATTAACGTTTCCTTGTTTGACCAGGAACAAATATCAGTTTGTAAAATTCAGCACATTATCAATGATTAATGATCAATGATTGAAATTATTCCATTAACGTTTCCTTGTTTGACCAGGAACAAATATTAGTTTGTATTTCTTGCTTACTGTTCGTAAATAGGTAAGGATGTGGGTTGTTCTAGTTTCAGGGAAATGCGAAGGATAGTCTTAAGTCTTAAGACTGATGACCTTATGATGATGATGATGATGATAATGATGATTTCTCTGCTTTGATGACGCAGAAGCGTTCGAAATGTCGTGTTATAGAGGAGGTTACGAATGAAAAGGTATTAAAAATAACAGAAAAATAAAGGACTCGGTGGAAGTCATAGATAGGTTTGTAGGACACCTTCTCAGGCATTTCTTAAATCTTCGACTTGGACATTCCTTGGTCACCATCTCCCATTTCTTCCACTGCTAACGCAGGATCTTTAGACCCGATTTTTTAACTTGTGTTTTTTTTCCCGATTTCACTAGAGGTTGTACCACTTACGTCTGTCGCATTTAATAAATACGTTATAACTGACAAATCGTTGTGATTTAGCATGCGTTTGTATGCAAATTAATAAAGAAAAACAATTAACACTATAGCTAACATAACATACTTAGGTCAACTTCTGCAAGTCGACGCCTCCAGGTGGCAATAAACAATTGACAGGTATAGGTGCGATTGTTATTTGTTATTAGTGCTAGAACGAATTAAACGTTTTGGAATATTATTTAATCGAAAGTGTATGGCGCGATCGCAGTTGGCCTGCACGCTGTCCCGTCTTGTCGAATGTCCATGTAATAAAATGTGACCGGCTGCAGCACGCCGTCCAATAATAAATCATAGTCGATTATCGGCTGCTACCGCAAGCACCAGCACCAGCAGCGGTTAAACAATCGTGTCGTCGGTCTGTCGGCCTATCAGATAGACGAAGAAGTGACCTGAAAGCCCCACGAATATATTAATAATTGCCCGCGTTGTCACTGTCACTTTACACCTACCGATAAATTGTTACAAACGCATTACATGTACGATCGATAAATATAAATGTGGTCGACCGTAAGCACGACCGATCGACTAGATGACGATATTAATAAAACGAACAAAAAAAGAACATGTAATGTTAAATATCGCATTCATCGGGTCAGCCTTGATTTCACATTAACGCAACGTCTTCAAGTTCATCACGTTTGATTGCCTCATGACGAAGTTCGTCAGAACTTTAGCGTTTATACATAAATGTATCCCATTGTGGAAGGTAAACGGATGGAGTTAAAAAAGGAAGAACTAGGAACGATGAAATCATCTGGAACTGGAAAAATCTGTTGTCAATGTTATGCTGGAAGAATGCCAGAGAATGTCTCCAATTGGAGATCTTCGGGAAGGTGCAGAATATCTACTACTATTGCTGCTATAGGCAGATGATGAAGATACAGTAGGTAGAGAAGATTTGGAGATCTTCGGAAAGATGCAGAAGATCTACCACCATTGCTACTGCAGGCTGATGATGAAGATACAGTGGAATATTTGGAAAGATGCAAAAGATCTACTACTATTGTTACTGCAGGCAGATGATGAAGATACAGTAGATAGAGAAGATTTGGAGATCTTCGGAAAGATGCAAAAGATCTGCTATTGTTACTACTACAGGCAGATGATGAAGATACAGTTGATAGAGAAGGTTTGGAGATCTTCGGAATGATGCAGAAGATATGAGGATACAGTGGATAGAGAAGGTTAAGAATGAGAACGGATTACAAATTGTAGAAGTCAATAAGAAATAGACGAGATGAGGTGGTTGGACACTTTTTTAGATATGGAAGGCTAGTTAGAGACATAATATAGAAACATAAACAGGAGCTGAAAAAGTCTAAAGTTGACCGAGAGTTAAGGACATGAATTGTTCTAGTTTTGGGAAGGTATGAATATTAGGTCAAGATTGGAAAGTGACTTTATGATGATGATGGCAACGATGGGTTAAATCAGAAGTAACTTGTTAAAGGAAAGTAAAATTAACATGTAGGGATGTAGACTACTCTTCAGAAGTTGTACAATGATGAAAACGGATGCCGTTTTACGTAGAATATCATTTCTGACTTCATCAACGAAAACGGCTCTCATAATCCACCTAAAGTCTGACGAGTTTTTCGGATTACCATATCAAAGAATAAGATGTAAATAAGCTACCTGTATGTATGACAGACGTATGCGTTCAGGTTTATGATTAGTAATATTATTATTATTAATCATAAGACTACGTGCTATCGTATTATGTTATGTATTCATCCACGGGTCACACGATCAAGGCCGCGAATAATTAACAAACCCCGGGAAAGGCCGATTGATGATAAATAACGTATCGTATGCATACATGTAGGTACAATATGGACAAAACACAATGAACACATCGAACCACGCCCATGTACCGTTCTGGTGAGCTTATATTTATTTATTAATGTCGAATCTTTGTGGTTGCGTGAGCCCATTAACAACCATCATTGTTCTGTTCTTGGATTGCCCACTGTGGGAAAATCTGGAGGATCACAAACCTGTAAGTGTGTGTATGTATATACATGTTGGTGTTTATATTTTTACGAGATGTAATTGCCATGTGTGACTGTGACCTTCATCTCTTCAAAACACGAACTTTAGTAATTATACAGGTATGTAATTGGATTCAAGGATACGGAAAATTAATATGTTTAATTGCCAAATTTCCAGTTGGAAATTACGAGATCTTAAAAAAAGATTCTAAAAAATGGAACAGTCTTTTAGTGGGTTCCGTTACCAGGCTTTGACACGTCGTTTAATGG